AATGATTTGGCTGTTATGATTTCCGAGCTAGCAGTTTTCCTGCCAAAAACTTCGTGTCCATACATGAGAGTCAAGTGTATCCAGGAGCTGAATTTGAAGTTCTTAATTTTTACTTGAGCAGCGAACATCCCCTTAAAATTTCGGCTTTCAAGTTTTTGATTTCGAATTAACAACTTTCCTGCCAAAATTTTTATGTGTCCATGGGAACTAGGCGTTCTCAGGAACTGAATCTGAAATCTTAAATTTGTACTTGGACAGGGAACATTTTTTTAAAATTTCAGCTTTTCAGCTTCTATGGAGTTAGTAATTTTCCCATCAAAACTTGCATGTGCTCGTGAGACCCAAACGTGCGTGAAAGTCAATATCACATTTCCTGAGAGTATATGCGTTTTCGCATTTCCATAAATGCGCAAAAATGCATAAATCATAAAAAATTCAGCAACTCTTCTCTCGCCTCAATTATATTACTCCTTCCGCTACTGATTGGCACTCTCTCTCTTTTTCTTGGCGGAAAGAAGCGTCTAGTTGTTTGTTTAGACGAGATGTTGATAGAAAGAAACCGTCCAGACAAAGAGATGACAGTCATAGCGCTTAAATATTTTTCCTTTCAGTAGATACGTAGAAGCGACTTCACACTCAGCTGAGGTCTTAGCGCTAGAGCAGACACAAAGGTGCATGCAAGGCTGAATTTTGACTATGAGATGCATATAATGAGAAATCATTGTCGTGAAATTTCGGCTTACTGTCTTCTCTAGTTGCTGAGTTGAAAAACCCGGACAAATGTAGAAAAACACTCAAAAAAACGCAGACAGACATGATCTCGACATTATTTGTTCTTGCACAGCACCAGTGATGCGAAAACGCATAATGAGGTAGTGCATAAAACACTAAAAAGGGGAGCGATTTTTTTGAAAATTATGAACTAAAGAAGTAGTGCTTTTCAAAGCATCAAAAGAAAAACTTTGTAGGTCTGAACTTTTTTCGGGAGATTACTTCTGAAAACTGTGAATATAGGAAGTTATACTTTCTGTAATACCAGGAAAAGGTTTAGTTATTTTTTAAGATTGAGAATTCTTTGGCACTGAAGGGGGATTTTATGTGTGTATGTATCAGCACAACTTTCAGGAAAAATGCTTTGGCTTGTTCGAGCAGAAAATATTTGTTACACGAATGGAAGTTTACGGAAAAAATGATGATGAACTTCATCCTAAAATCTGGGTGCCACGAGTTTGGTAATGTCTTTAGCTCTTTGAGAGTATTATCTAGCGAAAGAGTGACAAATTTTTATTGATTACATTGCGTAATATCTTAGAAATACGGTTTCAGACGATGCTACGTCTTCAGGGCATTAATGTATAAGATAAGATTTTAAAATTTGCAGGACAAATCCTCGAAACTTCAATTTTGATCATATTGGAAATGCGATGTTAGCGCTTTTTGAGACTTTATCCTATAAGGGGTGGAATGTTATTCGAGATATCTTGTGGATGAGACAAGGACCTGTAAGCATTTTTATTTGTATGTCGTTTCGGTATTATTTATACAGGCTGTGCCCCCTTGTATAACGTCTATGTGACATTTTCACATGATCGGTGCTGCCCGTTTTTAAATCTGTGAAATTTGTAACGAAGAAAATTGCAGTGGGCAGTAGTTTTTATACACATTTATGTGTTCATCGGATGCATGATTGGCTTAACACTTTTCGTTGGCGTTGTTATTGCTAATTATACTGAAAACAGAGTAAGCAGCCTTTCATTCTATTCATCCTCACCGATTTCAGTTTTTTTGATGCAGCAGTAGCGACGGTAATATTCAGTCAGTGAAATGACTTTTAAAAAAGTATGAAAGAATTATTTGCCTGTCTTCGGAATGTGGTAGTTTCTTCAGTTTAACTGAGTATAATTTTCAAAATAGTGCATTCGTTAT